CATAGAGAGGATTATTACATTAGGGGTCGTTTGTTACGCAGGCTTGGCTTGGACTAAATTTAGTATCACGTTTGTTTCATCTAATCCTAGTCTTAATGGAATTACTAATATCGGGCCCACCAAGAACACCTCCTTAAGAGGAGACTACTAAACTCATGTGGAAAGGAAGGATTAATTAGTTTCATACTTACCAATGTATAAGATGCATATATTGTACTGTAATAATAATAACGTACATTACTATTACTACTACTACTATTATTATTATTATTATTATTATTATTACATACCCATATTTATATATTAAATATGGCCTTAGCCTCTTCTGAAATTCCACTTGAAGCTCTCAAGTCCAACAAGTCGTCGGGTGTTTAAGGAAGACGCTGTTAGGCTTGGGTATATTTGGAAGACAACAATCCATGGGCTTTTGACAACATGGCTAGGCCTACATTTCGTGGGCTTTAATGATTTTATTATTATTTTTTTTTAGTTGGAAGATTTTCTTTCCTATTTTAAACAAGGATTCTTATTTAAACCATGATTTGTTTTTGTTTTTTTTTTTTTTTTTTTTTTTTTTGTTTTTCCTGATTTTATTTAAGGCCCGCGCAATAAAAGGGCATATTAAACTCTCACACACAACACGGATGCTAGGACTCGAACCCAAGACCTTGCCTAGTAAATACTTCAAACCACTACACTAGTGGGTCCTTTGCACCATGATTTGTTTTTTGGTATAAGGTTTTACCCTTTCAAAATTGCACATTCGCAAAAGAAATCCTAGGTCCGCTAGTGTATATACGTACACATATATATAATATATGCACATATACACAATATATAATATATATATGCATATGCATATATACATATAATATATATAATATACATATACTTATATACATTATATTATTATTATTATTATTATAATATATCCATATACACATATACATATTAATATTATAATAATATTCTAAGTGTATATATGTAATATATATTATATATTATAATGCATATATATTTATTTACACATATGTATATATATATATATATATTATACCCATGTATGTATTATAATATCAATCCCCTTCAGTTAAGGGATCCTCAAATAGTTATTTGAGGGATGGGACGCTCAGTTGTTGGATGTCTTTTAATGAGATTGTGCGGCTGTGATTGTTTTCAAAGTTTTAACCCGTTTTCACTCAAATGACCCGCAAAAGACCGAAGTCAAGCACGCACGCAGAAGAGGAAACGAAGGAAGAGGAAGAGCCAGCTCTTGCAAGCTGAAGGGCAGATCCACCATCGCCAACTGAAGAGTGGACCCGACAATCAGGTATGGGTATCGATGTCGATGGTTATTTTTTTCTCTCTTTTCTCCATCTGGGTTGTGGCTTTAGATTTGGGGTTTTGTGATAGTTTTTTAATATGGGTTTGAAAATTTCTACTCAAGGTTCAGATTACACCTGACTTCTCGTGGGTTTCTTGATTTTGAGTATCATGTATATGTGTTATCTGTGCTGGGTTGTAATGGTTGTGAGAAAACAATAAACCATTTGATCTTCTGTTAATCAATAAGGAATGCATTCGAATCCTGTGGGATTCACACTTTGATTTGTGGATTAATTTTTTTTTTCTTCCACATTCATGTCAATTTTCTCTACTTTCTATTGATTTCTATTGTGTTTCATGTTTTTTTTTAAGAAAAAAAAATGATTGTTGTGGGTTCATTTTAGGACTCACTGATCTGCAACAAATAGAGAATGAGTTTGTATTAATTCATGTCATTTACTATTGTTGTTGAGATAAGGTAACATATATAACTATTTGAATTTGTTATGGAATGCATAAAAGTGGTCTAAATAATCCTTCTAAGTCTGCAAATAATCTTTTTTATTTTCAAAACCAGAATACACACAGCCAAACGATAAGTTAGTTAAAATTTGTATGTTATCCAGTTAAAGTAGATGATTTTAGTGAGCCTAAACAATTTCAGCCTAAACAATTGTAAGCCAAGTACATAATACTATAAAAGTGGCTTTAGCACCTTAAATAAAATATAACTGTTTGTTTTGGTAAACAAAACGAAAAAGGTCACTTTCCTTCCTTGTCTCTGAAGCATATGTTTTTATGTGTGCTAATGACGCCTAAGGATTTAATATTTTTGTTCTGCAATAAGCCTTGTTGCTTACCATGTTACTTCCTCTCCAATTTCCATGATAGTTCTTTTATTGGAACTACAAAGTGTTTTAAGTTTTTACATCTGTCCATTATGGTTCCAACTTCTGATATAGAATTGGATTGGATTGGATTGGATGCGAGAGATAATAGAATTCTGTTCTTTTTTTATTTTATTTTATTTTATTTTTTTGAATCAGAAGATAATACAATTCTATTCGGTTCAGGAACTTGCTTCGTTTACTTCAATAAAGATAAATACAATAGAATTGCTTAACTGAATTTGTGATATTCATAATACTTTTTTCGCTTATGTATGACAGTGATAATAAACTTTAAATGCGTTGTCATTCATGAAGCCATTAAAATGACTATAAATGCTTTGAAGTACTTAGTGTATCTCTTTTTCAAATGCTTATAGTGTTTGAGTTATATGAAAGTTTTGTAATTGTAGGAAGAAAATATGATAATTGAAGGTATTTATCTGTTTCGTTTGTTTTTGTTTTCTTGCAGGCTATATGGCTAAAACAAACGAGATGATCATTTTTGCACGAAAATGTTAAGTTTGGCTTTAGTAGATGGAGGCCGTGGATTAGAGTTTCTATGAAATCATCTGCTGTTAAGCGTGTAAATTGTATCGCAATGCCTTAGATTAGATTAGGTGACGTAAATTTGAAGTTGTTTGTTGTATCAAGGTAATGTCACTTGGGACCTGTAATTATCAACGTTTGATGGTTGAAAGAGGTTCATGGCAGTTTAGAGCTATTCATTTGTTAGCCTTACAACTTCAAATTTCTGCATAATTCACAAAAGCCACACATGCTAATGTTCCTAAGTCAAACTTGAAAGTCACATGACAAATCATCACTGTTCACATATATTTTCTGCAAACGAACTAATCTCATCAACCAGAAATTTCTGATCATTATTATTTCCACACTGAATATAGCACTTTATTATGGATTACAAACATTACAGTGAAAACAACTAAATCATGTTTGCTCCTTCGAAGCTCTTCTTCTACAGAAATTTGCCACAACCATATGTGCATTTCAAATCAAAACATTCCAATTCATATATGTGAGAGAGACCTTATCTCTATAAAATTTCTGCACGAACTTCACCGCTACTATTGGACTTTTTATCAAGCACAAAAATAATTTCAATTTCAAATGCGTATTAACAATTCATATGCAATCTCATAAGCAAATACAAAAACAATTTCGAATGTGTACTATAACATAATGCTTATAATTGTTTGTCATTGAAAAGCACACAAGCCCATTCACTATTTGATATCCGAATATGAAATTGACTTTTTTTTTTGTTCTTTTTTTTGGTTGCCTATGCAGTTAGAACTCATTCTCTAATTTTACAAGTAATTTCTTAAATAAATAAAAATGAAACCCAATAGAAATCAACAGAAAGTAGAGGAAATTGACATGAATGTAAAGAAGAAAAAAATTTAATTCACAAATCAGAGTGTGAATCCCACAGGATTCGAATGCATTCCTTATTGATTAACAAAAGATCAAATGGTTTCTTGTTTTCTCATAACCATTCAAACCCAGCTCAGATAACACATACACATGATACTCAAAATCAAGAAACCCCAAATTGAAAACCACAACCCAGATGGAGAAAAGAGAGAGAAAAATAACCATCGACATCGATACCCATACCCGATTGTCGGGTCCGCTCTTCAACTGGCGATGGTGGATCTGCCCTTCAGCTTGCAAGGGTTGGCTCTTCCTCTTCGTTTCTCTTTCGCGTGCATGCTTGATTTCGGTCTTTTGCGGGTCACTTGAGTGAAAACGGGTTAAAACTTTGAAAACAATCACAACCGCACAATCTCATTAAAAGACATCCAACGGATGAGCGCCCCATCCCTCAAATAGTGTTATTTGAGGGATCCCTCACTGAAGGGGACTGATTATAATATACACATATACATTACATATGTATAATATATGTATATTAGAGAGCTTCCATTGAGGGATCCCTCAAATAAGCTTATTTGAGGGACACCCTTTGTAGGCCCCACTCCGGATTGTATTTCACTAATCCAAACCATCTATTTTGTAGATACTCATTCAAAGATCATCTCTATAAAAACCACTTGAATCCGATATCATTTGACCACTCAATTGAGTTATTGAAATTTTAGTACTTTCTTGAAGCACCGTGTTCATTGATTTTGTAAGACACAATTGGATATCGAAACGGTTTCCGATTTGTCTAATTTTTTGTAAGGATGATCTATGAATGAAAACCTAAAAAATAGATGGTTTGGATTGTTGGGAAAAAAATTATAGGGTACCTTAAAGGGCGTCCCTCAAATAAAATTATTTGAAGGATCCCTCAAATAAAATTATTTGAAGGATCCCTCAATAGAAGGGGACTGATATGTATATATATTATATTTATTATAGTATACATATATACATGTATATTATTATTATAACACACCCATATATATTATATATTATAATATACATATATACACCTATATTATTATTATAACATACCCATACATATATATTATATATTATAATATATATATGTGTGTATATGTATTTTACCCTTGTATACATTATAATATACATATATACACATGTATACATTATACCCATGAAAAAATATAAAAAAATCTAATCCTCGTCCTAGTACTAGTCTAAGCATACACCAAAAGCAGGATAAGTGTTATCCGACTTAAATCAAGCCAAGCTAAGTCAAGACAATCCTAAGCATAGGCCATGCTAAGATAATCCTATGTAACAAACGAGAGTGCTAGCTATATACTACCACATTCGCTTCTTTTTTATTCTATGCCACTGCAATATGCTTCAGACTTCCAGGACAATATATACATAGTTGGACAGGTCATCATGGCTATTGAAACCGAATGCAGTGCGGATCGTCCTTATATTGTTGGAGAAGATAATTTAATTGAAGCATTGAAAGAGAGCATGAGCAAAAAGCTTGGCCCTGCTGCTAAATCACCCTTGACTGTCAGAAGCTGCATCTTCAAAGTTCCCCAAGTGCTCCGGAGGCATAAGCCAGAGGCATATGAACCTCACGTCATCTAAATCGGACCCATTCATCGAGACGGTAGCAAACAATTCCAGCAATTGGAAACTGTGAAGCAGTGGTATTTAAAAACCCTTCTCTCCCGCATGAATCTAAGCTTAGAAAAATTTATCGATGGCTTTAACGAATTTTTATTACATGAATCTGAGGAGAAAGGCATCATTGAGTTTGGGAAAGGAGCCCGTGACTTTTATGAAGAACCACTTGACTTTAACGATAAAGAGTTCATGGAAATAATGATACTTGATGGTTGCTTCGTAATACAACTAGTTCGGAAGTTTATCCACCATTGGGAAAAAGAGGATGACCCCATATTGAATGAGGAAAAAGAGGATGACCCATATTGAACTTGGATTGCATGTTGCAATATGCATGTCATGATCTTTTGTTATTAGAAAATCAGCTTCCTTGGTCTGTTCTCAGTTGTTTATATCGCTTTACCTTGGGCAAACGCAACGGTGAACCCCCGTTCAGTGTAGTCCTGCTCTGTTTCTTCAGTTCATCACTACACTCGTCGAACAAATATTGCAACTCCTATTTTCAATATCTTATGGAACTTGACCAGAAGGTTGATGAGAATGGAGTTTTGCACATACTTGATCTAATCAGAACTTCCATTGTTTTCGCATTCCAACCTTTTGAACCTTCCAGTAGAAATGACCAAATTGTCTTTGGTGGTTCGCAGAAAAGGAAGAAAAAGAGATTGAACCGGAAATTCAGGAAATTCCTGCAGCAACAGCTCTCTCAGAAGCAGGAGTTAAATTTGAAAGGGGCTCGGATAATAATCTAATGAACATCAAATTTAAAGATGGGGTTTTAACAATTCCAGAACTAGCAGTTGCAGAGTTGACCGAACCATTATTCAGGAACCTCATCGCCTTTGAGCAGTGCTATCATGGTCGTTCTCAGCAAATAACATCTTACGCCGTTTTCATGGACAAACTCATCAATTCCGACAAGGATATAAAGCTTCTTTCTAAGAAAAAAATCTTAGCTAACTGGCTGAGCGTCGAAGATGGTTCTAACTTCTTTAACAAGCTTTACACTGACACCGTTGTCAAAGAGTTCCACTATGACAAACTCTGCGCTGAAGTGAATAAATATTACCAGGTTGGATGGCACAAGCAGTTAGAAATATTGAGGCGCGACTACGTTGCTAACCCCTGGACAATCATTTCTTTGATTGCAGGAATTATCCTTCTGGTTCTTACCTTATTGCAGACCATATTTACCATTTATCAATAGTTTTCTATCCTCAGTACGTAGTTGTTAAGAATAAGAGTGCATATGCGGATATAGTATTGTATTGTTAAGAGTTTGTTTAAGCTGAGAGAGTTGTTATATATTGTAAGAGAAGAGAGATATATACTCTCAATCAATGTAATAATCTATATATCTGAGCAATAATAATACTATGAGAAGAGGATCTTCCTTCATATATATCTTCTCTGTTTCTCTCTCTTTTCTTTTTTTTTCTTTTTTTTCTTCTACTATGAGATTGTTACGCTAACATGGTATCATGAACCATTTGGGCAATATTGCAAATTTGCAATCCCCAATTTCTTGTTTTATTTTATAAGCTTATTTGAGAGGGGCACTTTTGTGCGATTTGGTCAGCATTGTATTTTAATGATATAGCCCGTCTATTTTTCAGTTAATTCTTCAAAGATCATCTCTTCAAAAGATGACTTGAATTGAAAATCATTTAAACACGCAATTAAATGTTTGTATTAGTTTAGAATATTTGAATTCAAATCCCTCTCTTTCAAGATTAGACTAGTTTAAAATTTGGTCTTTTCAGTTAAAAATTAAAAGCAGTTAGATTTAGAGGTTTTAGTGTAGACACATCAACCATTTTAATTAGTTAATGATGAACTTATTAAAGTGAGCCGTTTGTAAGAATAATTTTTATTTTCCTTCAACACTGGGCTTTGCTTAGCCCAAGTAGCCCTTGATTGGATTTAGACTGGGGCCCAATGATTGGGTTGAACCAAAACCTGTCAAAGCAAATCCGGTTAATCCTAAAGCGGAGGTCAACTCCGTTGACCAAATGCCATTTCGCCATTAGCAGCGAGAGAGACTGAAACGAAAGAAACACAAAGATGAAAGACCCATCTCTGTTTTGCTCAGATTTTAGCATTCTCCAGCCTAAAAACCAAAGGTTTTGAAGAACCCAGTTTACAATGTCCATCGGATTGGTGTCCCATGTCAAGGAAGTAAGCCAATCAGCGAGTGCCACGCTTTGGTCGTGGGGGGAACTCCTGGAGCCGACCGCACTCATCCTCCCCTCCAATATCTCCGAGGCCACGACCCGACTGGCACAGAACTTGACCCATTTCCGCTCCGACTACACCTTGGTCCTCTTGACCGAGCTCTTCCTCAGCCTCCTATACCACCCGGTCTCCATCATCGTCCTCTTGATCATCTTCCTCTACTTCTCACGTGACCAGCCCCTCGAAGTCTTTGGCTTTACTGTGGGAGACCGTGTTGTGATGGTTGTTCTTGGAGTGGTTACGGTGTTGGCTCTCGTCTTGACCCATGTATTGCTCAACGTCGACATTTCAGTGGAGACTCGGGTTCTTGCACGTGCCTCATGGGACTCTGCTCTCGGATGATCATGATTCATGACCCAAGTGGGAATTATGATAACAAACATTACCTTTGGATGATCATCAGATCATGATTCATGACCCAAGTGGGCATGGAGGACCTTGTTTTGGAAGTGTTAGTTGATGAGAAACTGCAACTCAATGGATTGTGTATGATAACAAACATTACCTTTGGATTGATTGTGCTTCTATATACTTGTTTACAACAGGGAGTATAGGATTTTAATAGATATACTTCAATTTGGTTACTCCATTGTCATCTGTGATATTCATCTGTTTTTGCTCTTGGTACTAAATTCATTTGAGAATGTATCAAATGTCATCTGTGATTTTTTTGTTTTTTTTTTTTTTTTTTTTTTTTTTTTTTTTTTTTTTTTTTTACTATTTAATAAATCGAATGAAGGTACACATTTAGGTTGGGGTGGGCTCCGGCCCAGTACTGATTTTACGAGCCGAATCTAAATAAATCAAATAAGCCCACCTCTCAGTAAACCAAATATACTCCCAATGGTTTGATTGAGTTTGGAGCATTGTCGTGCAACTTTCGGGAGCCATCAATGAACCAGACTCAAGCATGGCTTTGACAGCTTCCTTGGCTTGTAGCTGTCAATTTTTCCTCACAAACACTCTCTCTCTCACTCTCTCTCTCTCTCTTACTTATTTCTCTTTTTCTTTTTCTTCTCTCTTTCTTTCCTTCTTTATTCTCTCTGTTTCTCTTCTTTTTTTCTACATTTCTATATTTTTCTACGTTTATCTGTTTGTCTACGCATTGATGGTGTTAACCACCATGGTTGGAACAACAGCTATAATAGATCTCCCAAAAAATAAAATAGCCCACCCCTATAAAAATTCATGGACCCGCTATTGAATGTACATAGAAGGTTGAGGACCACATTTTTGTGGTTTGCCTAGGGCTTCTATGACCTTATGACCGCCAGAGACTCATATCTTATGATCATCAACAAAACTTGACAAGTCTCTACAAATACAAACCTACCAAGACTAAGAGAGATAGGAAACCATAAAGTATGAGGTGTATCTATGGGACTAACGTATTTTGAGCACTAGAATTTACCTTCAAATCCCATAGTGACAAAAAAAAAGACATAATAACTTGATAATGTCGTGAATCTCATGTACGTTATTTTGTGATAAGATGCAAAGTGTAATTCAATCAAACCAAAATCAGCTAAATTTAACAGCTTGAAATAATTTTTCTAAATGAAATCCTAGCAGTTTTCTGTTTAGCACAGTGACAAAATATTAAATGAAAACAAATATGTTATATAATAGATGAAGGTAAAACATACATATATGAATAAAATGCTGACCCATTTGTCACTTTTGTGGTACAAAATGCAATTATTTCTAGATTGAAAATAACTATAGCTGGTTCACAATGGAAATGTTTCATATTTTCTAAAACTTTCTAAGAAAAATTAGTGCATATTGACAAAAAAACTTTAGTAATTACCATATGATACATTACCTATTTTTGTTTTGGATATCACTACTACAAAAAGTGAAAAAGACGACCAGAAAACAACGACGGTAGATCTAAAAACCGTCATGGATGAATAACTTAACACTAGTAAAAAAAAACCCTTGCGCGACCAAATTTTGAGTGACGAAAAACTATTCGTCGCTCAAAGTCACTTTGCGCGACAAAACTCAAAACTTCGTCGCTCAAATTTTGCACAACGAAAAATAATTCGTCGCGCAAAGTCACTTTGCACGACAAACTTTTGCTCGACGACAATACATCGTCGCTCAAAGTGACTTTGCGCGACGAAAAAATAAACTTCGTCGCGCAAAGTCCTTATAAAAATAAATAAAATAAAAAATTTATTTTTAAAAATCTTTGCATGACGTAATCCAAACATTTCGTCGCCTAAACTAATTTATTTTTGTTTTTATTTTGTATGCATAACACTTAAGATATTAAACGGTATATATATTTATTAAGTAGCTTTAAATTTATTATTTTAGATCGGATAGGATTTTTGTTAGAAAAATATATTATTGTTGTTCGAATTGGGTTTTTGTTAGAAAATATATATTTTAAATTGACAATCGAATTAGTTCATTGTATTCATATAGGGTCAAGGAGTGTAGCTGTAAAAAATCATCAAAATCGGAGTTAAAATAACTGTTAAATTGTGATTTTTCATTCATAACTGTCTAAAATTTTTGTCCCATTACTTGATCTCTGAATGTTTATTTTTTCTGATTTTTGGCGTATATGATCTCGAAGTATAAACAAACAAGTTTGACGGTTGGATCGTTGAAACTAGTTTTGTTGAATGCATATGCCATCAAAACAATATATTCACTAACAATTTAGAGTTTATTTATACTTTCATTAAATATAACATAAGATTTTGTGGTATCCACTAGTGTAAATATTTTAAGTTGAAGATCAAATTCAGTCATTGTATTCATATAGGGTCAAGGAGTGTACCTGTAAAAAATCATCAAAATCGGAGTTAAAATAACCATTAAATCATGATTTTTCATTTATAACCGTCGAAAAGTTTTGTCCAATTACTTGATCTCTGAATGTTTAAATTTTCCGATTTTTGGTGTATATGATCTCGAAGTATAAACAAACAAGTTTGACAGTTGGATCATTGAAACTAGTTTCGTAGAATGTGTATGCCATCAAAACAATATATTCACTAACAACTAAGAGTTTATTTATACTTTCTTTAAAGGGATATTTGTTGAAATGTCACCTGAACTTATACCTTAGTTTCAATTTGTCACCTGAACTTTTCAAAATCTATAATTTGTCATCTAACTTTAACATCATCCAATTTTCCATCCATAATTAAGGGTATTTTAGTCTTTTCATTTTAGAGTGTTTACAAATTAAAAAAAAATCATTATACAAGCCTTTCCTACCAAACATTAAAAGATTTAAAAATGCATTTTTTTCCATTCCCCCTGTCGTCTCTTCCTCTCCTCTGTTTTTTTTTCTCCCCCCAAGACTTGAGCATGGAAGGGATGGACTGCCATATCTGCCAAGCTGCAATCAAAACCACACCTCCCTAGACCAAAAAAAAACAAAAAACACCTCCCCTCTCCTCTATTTCTCTGTATAGTTACAGGAGGTATGGTGGGAATTTCTTCGTGAATTTGTTGGGGAAGTGACAGGAGTCTAAATATTTCATTTAGGTGATCCAGTTGGTGGTCTTGCCTACTATGTCACTGCTCCATCAAGGTGATCCAGCACATTGATTGCTTTACCTTTTAAATCTTCTTTGCCGTTTCTTATTTCATTTAGTTTGCAAAAGAATTTACAAGAATCACTTTTTCTGTCAATGTGGTTTTGATTGCAGCTTGGCAGATATGGAAGCCCATCCCTTCTATGCTCAGGTCTTGGAGGGAGAAAATAAATAGAGGAGAGGGGAGGTGTGGTTGGGGAGGGAGGGAGAATAGAGAGACGACAGGGGATGGAAAAAAAAATGCATTTTTTAATTTTTTTAATGTTTGGTAGGAAAGGCTTGTATAATGAAAAATGAAAAGACTAAAATACCCTTAATTATGGATGGAAAATTGGATGATGTTAAAGTCATATGACAAATTATAGATTTTGAAAAATTCAGGTGACATTTCTCTTAAATTTTTTGTTCA